GCTCTGTCCTTTTATTTCCTTTCCTTTTGTTTGTAAATGTTTATATAGTTTCTGCGTGTTGGACCACACTAGCAGCCGTGACAGATTTGAAAATAAGAGAGCGTTAGCAAGGTCACCAGAGACATTGAGAAGTTTGGCATAGCATTACTGCTTACTTTAAAAAAAAAAAACCTGCAACAACTCAAATAAGTGCGAAAGAAATGCATACATTTTACATTTTTACATATAAATCTTTAATTTTTCCGGAAAGACTAGGTGACTTTTTTTTCAGTTCCAGGTAACTTTTTCTGTCCGTTGCTCTGTGGTTGGAGATTTCCATCAGTAACTGTTGTGGCATTGGAAATGATGCTTGCATCTTTTACCTGGATGGATTTTGTACTGTGTAAAGAGAAAAAGTCAGTTTAATAACAAGCATTACAGGCATTTCAGAAGAACCATTAGTGTCTTAAAGAGGCACTCTGAGTAATATAACCACTACAGCTAGCTTATGACAGGTAAAACAACACACAATGTTCCTGACCTTTGCCTAAACAGAACTATATTTAGAGGCATCAATATTTTCTTCTTAAGGAGCAAACTGAATGTAGAATGTTGTAAAATGACATCTATCAGGGCTATATTTATCTCATGAATACATCTTGACCCTCTTAAACCCTAATGTACCTGTATGTTTTAAGGTTGTTTATTTTTCTATTAATAATTCTGTATTTTAATTTTTTATCACACAAAACAAAGTACAAAATACATATAGCATTAACGTACAAAGACTTAAAGGACCACTATAGGCACCCAGACCACTTCAAGCTTAATGAGGTGGTCTGGGTGCCTGGTCCATGTAGGGTTAACCCTTTTTTCTTTAAACATAGCAGTTTCAGAGAAACTGCTATGTTTACATTAGGGTTAATCCAGCCTCTAGTGGCTGTCTCATGCGCATTCAGGCGAAGAGGAGGAGAAGAGGGAGGAGAGGAGGAGGAGAGTTCCCCGCCCGGCACTGGAGAAAGAGGTAAGTTTAACCCCTTCCTTCCCCTAGAGCCGGGCGGGAGGGGGGCCCTGAGGGTGGGGGCACCCTCAGGGCACTATAGTGCCAGGAAAACGAGTGTGTTTTCCTGGCACTATAGTGGTTCTTTAACAATTACTCATATATAATACATTCTACCTGTGGGGGGCTGAGCAGGGAAGAGCAATTTCTTTATTTTCTTTATATGGCTTATCTAATTCTGAAATTAATGTTTTACTCAGGTTTTAATAAATGCCAACATTTTATCAATACATTTCTCTCTTATCTTTTTATTCCTGACTGAATAATTATTTCTCCAGCATACACCCAATTCCATCTTTAATTGGAAAGTTAGTTGTATTGCCCATTGATAGTAACTGATTTCTATAGGTTGTTTCCATTCTCTTGCTATGAGAATCTTCACAGCCAGGAAACTATTTGTAACCAGATAATAATTTAATGTAGCTAAATCAGGCCAGCCCATATGCAATAATGCTGTTATGTGACTTTTTTCAATTTTAATCTTATCCATATCATAAAGTATTTTATAGACCTGATCCCATATAGTTTTGGGCAGCCCCACCATATGTGAAGATAGTTTCCAACCACCCCCAAGCATCTCAAACATATATTTGATACACTAATGTCCATTTTGTTCAATCTGGTGGGAACCAAGTACAACCTATTACATACTTTAAAATAAGTTTCGATCAAAATTATATTATGGACATGTTTCTTAACTAACTAGGGTTTTACCCCAAGCACCAACATCTATGTTAATGTTGCACTCTGTTTCCCATTTTTAAAACTGTTTTAAAACGATAATTTGTGACATCATTCGGGTCAACATATAACATTTTAATAAAAGTTTTGACATTTTCATTGGTGCAAAAATTTGTTTCATGTAGATGGCATTTTTACTTTTTCCCTCTTCAAAATTTTTAGAGACAAGTGATTTGATTCTTAAGTAATTAAATGTTTCAGATTTTATTAAATTATATTCTAACATTAGAGCTGCAAAAGTTTTAATTCTTCCCTCTTTCATAATATTATTTACATCTTTAATTCTCTTTTCTTTCCACAAGTCCAACTTTGGATCATCTATAAGCAATTCTAGAATCTCCAACTCCATAAAACCATACATTTTCCCATTGTTTTTCATCTTTTTTCTTAGTTTAAACCACACCAGGAAAATTTGTCTGAGGATTTTATTTTGAATTTCTTTCAATATCAGATAACCTTTTTCTTGCCAGACAAGTTTATTTATATCGCTGTTTCCCTCGCTTCCTTTTTAGTTTGAATTAGGATATGATGGATTATACTAGCCTCATAATGTTTTTTTTAATATTGGGGAAATTCCTACCACCTTGGCTGGGACTATTTGTCAGCAAGTCCAGGTTAACGCGTGGTCTCTTCCCTCTCCACACAAAATTGTCTGAACAATTTCGAACCAGCTGTCTGGTATTTTTAGAGGGATCATTTAAAAATAATCTGTCCACTTTGGGAGAATATAGGCATGGATGATATTAATTCTACCTGACCAGCTCAGAAATGTTTTATTCCACTTTTTTAACATTATGTTTGCTGAACTAATCAGTTTTAAAACATTCTCTTCAACATTTCTATTAGTTTTGTCAGAAAGCGTAACACCTAAATACTCAAAACTCCCCATAGCTTCTCTAAAGCTATGCATTTCTAATATTTGGGGTTTTTCCTGTATCAGCATCACAATTTCTTAATGTAACCACAGATTTATCTATATTTATCCTGTAATTAGATATCTCACTGTATTTGGCAATGGGATGGAAGCGATGGGATCAGTCAAAGTTATTATTGTGTCGTCCGCATTCATTCACATCTTAAGATCTTTTGAAGCTACTGGAATCCCCCTGACATTTGGGTTCGACCTTATCCTAGTTGCTAGGGGCTCCATGGATATTATGTATAATACTGGTGAAAGCAGGCATCCCTGACGGGTGCCATTACCCAAAGTAAAGCAATCAGAACATAAATCTGCACCCACCAAACTGGCCATAGGGTTTTGGTACATGGATTTAATTGCTGCTTTCATCCATCCACAGAAACCCATGGACTCCTTTTCTGCATCCATGACAGGGTCATAAGTGGCTTCCCGGATCTCTCTCCCCAATCCAAAATATTGGTCAAACATCTCGAGTTAGCAGTTGCCTGTCTAGTGGTAACAAAACTGATC